CTGACCAGGCTGCCTCTGTGTTTGCAAGTGTCCAGTGTGAGGTGCAGCTGGTGGAGTCTGGGGGAGGCCTGGTGCAGCCTGGGGGTTCCCTGCGACTCTCCTGTGCTGCCTCTGGATTCACCTTTAGTAGTTATAATATGTACTGGGTCCGCCAGGCTCCAGGGCTGGAGTGGATCTCATACATTAGTTATAACAGTGGTACTGTAAAGTATGCCAACTCTGTGAAGGGCTGACTCACCATCTCCAGGGACAATGCAAGAACACTCTGTACCTGCAAATGAGCAGTCTGAGAACCTAGGATATGGCCACCTATTACTGTACTACAGACACAGTGAGGGGACCTCAGTGTGAGCCCAGACACAAACCTCCTGCAGGGTGCCCAGGGCCAGCAGGGGGCGCTCAGCACACAAGGATCTCAGTTCACCCAGGAGCAGGAGGAGAGCAGGGGCAAGGGCTGGATTCCTGCATCTGGGGGCCTCTCATGATCCAGTTTCCCCAGGGATCTCTGTGGTCCTGTGGTCTGTACTAATCTGTGTTGTCTCTGAAGATACAAATTCTTTTTTCAGGGTGTGTTTTCCTCTTTTCATTCCTGCCTGGTACTTACTCTAACATTGTGGTTCATTTTGACATAATCCACAATCATACAGTGCCATTTTCTCCACTTTGTCTGCAGTACCTCCCCTTGCCCTTCCCTCTCCCTCCATGTGTTCCTTCCTCTTTTAGCTGATCTTCCTTCTATTTGTTTACACTTTTCTTTACATTAGTGACAGGTATTTACATAAAATTTGCTCTGGTGTGTTTATATCTGTAGATGGGAATTTTGGTCAATTTCTATCCATCTGTTTTTTCCCTCTCTCCTCCTTCACTCTCCATTCCCTTCCTCTACTCCCCTGCTCTCCATTCTACTTAAATGTTACTCTGTCCCCTTAGTTTGCTGTTCCTTCCACATCTGAGAGAAAACCTCAGCCCTTGATTTTCTGAGCCTGACTTATTTCACTTCCTATGATGTTCTCTGCATGGTCTCTCTCTCGTCCAATGAAGAGGTCCACAGAACAGGGTAGAGGAGAGTGTGGCTGCGGAGTTGCTAATCACCACCCCCAAAGACCAAGGAGAAGTCAGGTCTGATTCTATTGCACAGTTACCATGTATATATTCTCAGGCACCAGCTAAGCAGAGTACAAGCAGCCACAAATACAATTTCTGGTCAACTGTCCCTGCAGTGTCCTATTGAGGAGTGGGCCATGGAACAAGTGCAGGGACTGCAACACTCAGCCTCATGCCCAAGGCTGTGCCTACAGGGTAAGCATTTTGCCACTCACATGCCTAGCATGGGGGAGGGGTTTGCCACTCAGATGTTCTTAACTTATGCCATGTATGCAGTACTCTATGCACTTGTCCCCACAATTCTCCAATTCCACCAATTTACCAGAAACACTCTCACTTAATTCCTCTTTATGGTGAGTAAAACCCCACTCTGTACACACCCCACATTTTCTTTACCCATCCATCTGGTGACAGGCATCTAGGCTGGGTCCATCCCTTGGGGGCTGTCAGTTTCTGCTATAAACACTTGTGTGGCTGTGTCACTACAGAATGCCTAGTTTACATCCTTAGGACTGTAACAAAGCTGGAATACCTGGTCATGTGGTGGTGTCTTAGTCAGCTTTTTTGCTGCTGTGACTGAAAGGTCTGACCAGAACCACTTAGAGGAGGAAAGGTTGATTTGAGGACTCACAGTGTCAGACATCTCAGTCCATGGACAGCAGGCTCCATCCCTCAGATCTCAAGGTGAGGATGAACATCATGGTGGGAGACTGTGGAGGAGGGGAGCTGCTCACATGATGATCAGGAAGCAGAGAGAGACCCTCACCAGATACAAATATATACCCCAAGGCTACCCCCATGCCCCACCTCCTCCAGCCTCACCTGCCCACCTTCAGTCACCTCCCAGTAATCCCTTACAGGGGGTTAATTCACTGAGGGGTTAAGTTCTCTGACCCAATCATTTCCACTCTAACCCTTGTTGCAGTCATACATGGGCTTTTGGGGGGACACCTCACATCCAAACCATAACACTCCACCCTTGGCCCCCAGAAGCTCATGACCGCCTCACAATTCAAAATACATTTAGTCCATTCCCAAGATTCCCCATAGTCTCAATAGTTCAAGCCCTGCCCCAAGGTTCAGGTCCAAAGTCTCCTCTGAGCCTCAAGGCAAACCAGCATTCTGAGCTCTAAAGATCAAAGCCATTTATAAGTATGCAGTATATAAAGGTGTTATAGTTAAAAGCATAGTCCTTGGGTTTCGTACACTGACTTCCAGACCACTCACATATAATCAAATCAAGCCTTTATGGAAGCACACCAGGGCAACTGACCAGAACATAAAGCTGTTCCCCTGATCAGCCCCAAACAATTGTAAGGACACCTCTTATAAACCTGAAAACCACAAAAGGGATGTTCGGGGGTCTAGGTAATGCAAGCCAGCCAGGTTACAGAAGCAGAAGAGTGCAGGCAGGCAGAGGTACGCTCAGCCAATCATAGTTAGCCCAGTCAACACAGTTACAGAAACAGAGCCCCATTACCCTAGTTACAGATATGATGTCCCATTAGATAGTTCCATGTTCTTAAAGCTTTTTATAGTAAAAGGAAAAACAACGTTTTACCCCAGTCATGACCCTTGTACTTGGCATGGTTGATTTACAAAATGGAGTCACAAAACAAAATGGAGTCACTCTTGCTTTTACTAACACAAAGATACAGAGTAAACGTCTCCATTAAAAAAAATAGGGGCACAGAAGGAAGGACTGGGGCCAAGGCAAGACTGAAATCCAGCTGGGCAGCAAGTCCTGGAGCTCCACGTCCAGGATCTGGGCACAAGGCGTGGTGACGTT